TGTGATTGATTTTATTGATTGTTTGCTTTCTCTGCTCTATATTTGTTAATCTTAGATGTTTGCATAGTGAGGGAAAAGTTCCAGTTTTGGGTATTCCGCATTTGACTTGGGTATTGTCTTTGTTGCATTGCCCTGTTATACCATTATTTTTCCCTAACAATTACTATACTGACACTGCAATGTCCCAAAAATTCATAACATAATAATTACAATAATAATCTCACATACATAAAAAAAATAAAAATAAAAAACAAATAAAAAATCACAGGACCTAATCAATTACATCAAACATCCTCAATATACACAAATCAATACTAAAAATACATGTCCAAAATAAATCTCCAAATAGGCAAAATAGATCTGCAACACAAGTTCCTCCACATTCTTTTCATTTCCTGAAAATGTTAAAGAAGGAGTGAGTAACACTTGCCTAGTAAAGAGTGGCTAAAACACATCTCCTATAACCACGTGATCTACACAAACAAAGAAGACAACTAAAGGGGAATGGATCATACTTTGAAAGGGAAAGTCATGTTTCATCATATGGGTATCGTAATAAAAAGAAAAGGATGATAGAAATAACAATATCTAAAGTAATTCCAATTTAATTCAATGCAAGATCATCGGTCACAAAGCACAATTTAGTAATGAACATGCATGATATGAATTATGATGCATCTCATCCCAAATTTGGACTATACCGACCTAACATTTACTTTTCGAAAACTTACTAACCGACTTTACTAAGGCGAGATTGATAGCTAACCTCGGTTCCAAATCCGGCAACCGTTAAAGGGCCTAGTATCAACTTTTTCAAGCCCTACACCATGCCGCGCTTCCTCTAGGACAAGCTAACCCCGAACTTGCAAAATCCGGTTTATTTTTTTAAAAAAACTTACCTTCCATTATCAAAAACTTCACTTTCAAAAATAAAATTTTCCTTTTTCAAATCATTTCTAAAAACTTTTGGAAATCAATACTTCATTTGACCAACCCAAATCAACCGCACCATGCCAATGTGAATGCCATGAATGAAATGAGCTTTGCACACAAACCACGACATACACACCCATACTATGCGTGTGTGATAAATGAACATGGCACTATAATGTCCCAATTTTAGAATTTAAATATGATTATACAAATTTAGCAAGCATACAAGCATGAACAACAATTGTGAACATTATGTCATACAATTCATATAATTTGTACAATATCTGCAAAGTCCTCTCAAAACAATTCATAGATAATTCATTTTAAAACGAAATGGGGCAATTTTGGAATCTAAACTCAGAAAATAAAAATGAAAAATTTACTCCCAATTCCAATGAAATCAGTTTATTTACAAGTAAAACAATAGTCCTCATCTCGAAGAAAATCTGGACAACTTTGAGAGAAAATTTATAGAAAAATCATCCGGTATCGGAATGTGGGAAATTAAATTTATTTTGAAAGCTAAATCATGAGAGTATAAAACTAAATTTTTTTGTAATCATTCGATATCGGGATGTCGCCCAAATGATTTCATAAACATTTGTTTTCAAACTGTGGTAAAAAACTAAGCAGCGACTATCGTCTGATTTTTACAAAACATAATACATGGTCTAAAATTATAAAAATTGGCAGAAACTCACTAGACTGGTGTTCGAACATGGGATAAAATTTTGAGAATTTTTATACATTGAGAAGTTAGCCAAACAACTTTGTCAAAACCTGTTTTCAAACTGTGACGGGAAACTATACAACAATTACCCTCCAATTTTTATAAAACTAAATACACGGGTTAAAATCATCAAAAACTACAGAACTGTACTAGACTGATGTGAAAACTTGCTATAAAATTTTTAGAATTGTTCTATGTGAGAAAATCAGTTAAACTATTTTCTCAAAACTTCATTTTTCAGCAGTGACATGAAACTGGACAACAGATACTTCCGGATTTTTAGAAAAATATGTACGCACTCTGAAATCATAAATTTTTTATGATATATACTAGACTCGTAGGAGAAGTTCTCGTAAAAATTTCGTTTCAATTGGAGTAACACTGCATTTAAATCAAAATTCATTCCAAAGAAGGTTGACATATTCACAAGGTAAGACATGTTATCAACAAGTGAATCATAGTAAGCAAAATTCAACATGAATAGAGCATGAATTCATTAACTAAAATCAAGACAACAATGAATTTGACCACATAGGAGGCTGTCCAAAATAAATAACATAATTAGCCTAAACTTAAGCATACTTTGACATGAATAACAATTAATTTACTTACAATAATCAAGGAAATTGTGGGTTAGACACCCCTACCTCTAATTCTTGCAAAATCTCCAAAAAGGGTCAAAATGCAAACACCTCCGAATTGAATTATGAGACAACCGGAGCATAGCTCTCGTCGAGCTCGTCAACCTTCCCTTCTTGCTCTCCTCCCGAATCTCACTTTAGGTAGATCAAATCTTAGCCTAAAACATGTAAAATCTATATACAAAGAAGAAAAGGAAAGAGAGAGAGAAAATTGATGCACGGCGGGGAAAGAAAAAAGATTGTGGCCCAATAAATGACTAAGTGTCATATATACAGTCAAAGCCAAAGTGGCGGGTCCCGCTCTTCATTTAAACTTGAAAATGGTTCACAAAAGCCTCCAACACCCGGAAATAATGCAACGAAGTGTAAAATAAGTGTCTAAAAATAAAATAGAGTCAAATAATAATGTTAGAAAATTTTTTGAACACTAAACCCCAAGTGGAGCCCACACGGGACCTCTCGAGTCCAAAAATCCAAATTGCTAGAAATGATCCGAAACGATCCTAAATGTAATTTCCAAGAGTTCGAACTCAAATAAATGTCCCAACTGACTACTAGGACCATGTGGCACGCAAAACGATGCTCAAAATAATAAATACGAAAAAGAACAAAATTTAACAAAAAAAAAAAAACAAAGAAAAATCTGGGATATTACAGACATATCAAGGCACGTCCATGGGGTCTAGTATTATGCTAAGTCCAATAGTCTTTGTTGTCTTCCATTTAGGCTCCGTTTGTTTAAATGTAAAATATTTTTTAGAAAATATTTTTTTGTGTTTTCTAATGTTCGGTTATCGTAAATATTTTACGAAGAAAATAAAAAAAAATAAAAAATAACATATTCAACAATTTTTGGCAAGTTATTTTACATGTCCCATCCGATAGACTCGATCTAGACCTTGCCAAGTACCGAAAAAAATAAAAAAATATATTTTACATGAAAAAGAAATATATTTTTTGAGAAAAATATTTTACGCCGAAACCTACAAAACTTTAATTTTTACTGTTCTAGTGTAGTTGGTTGGTGGTGGTGTTGGACTTAGATGAGGGTGGTGTGGTTCGCCCTGGTTATGGGTGGAATGCTGTTGAGTTGAGGTGGTTATGTAGGTCTGTTCTTTTGCCCTTCTTTTTTTTTTCTTTTTTTTTTTTTTTTCTCCTTCCAAAATCCTTATACTTTGTCCAAACTCCAAACTAATCAATTTAAATAATAATTATTAATATGTTATTCACTTGATATTTTAGTTGTAAGTAAATAAATAATATTAGTATACCAATTAAAAATCTATATATGCATACACATGTTTTAAGTTATATTCAGGAAAAACAAATGCTTTAAGAAGTAATAATGAAATATTAATCTCTATTATTTGAATTTTTATATTTGTAATTAAAATTATAAAATGAATTTTTATATTTGTAAAATTTTAAATTATAAATTTGCAAGTTTAATGATATAAAGTTGACATATAAATTGATTTCATTTGAAAATTATAGTGTAATATGTTGTCGATATTTTCGTAATTTCATGTCAAAAGAAAAGGTTATTATGGTCTTTTAATTGCCCCCTAAGCACCTACAAAATTTACAAAATCCCTTTTAAAAAAGTTTCAAAATTAAAAAAGACTCCTCATTTTCTAACTCACTTTACAGACAAAATTTTCAAAATTTAAAAATGAACCATTTTTTTTTCCATCTCAACTGGGTGGGATAAAATTTTTAAAAAACAAAATTCAGAAAATAACCTTCCTTTGCCATGTATAATTTTTGGTTATAAATTTCATATCAACTATTGTTAATTGTTGCCCTCTAAACTCCATTCCTGATTGTGTCACTATATATACATTCATATTCATTTATACGTTTATAATGGACATGATTATGCAAACAAATACTCCCTACGTTCCAGTTCTTCCATTTGAAGAGTCAAAGTAAAATTAGTTTTATTTTTATCTTTCTAATTTACATCATTGCCTTTCAAGTTTTAAAATGTTTTTCAACTTAGTATTATAATATCAAAAATGGACCATCAATATGTGACAAATAGAGCATACGTACGTTGATGTTCTTGTATTCTCCTCCAGGCACACATGCATATATGGACTGCATCTTATAAGTAGGCATTTTATTCAAGTGACGTTTTTTACACAAATAACCCTAGGATGCTTGCGAAGGCGTGAATAAATTTGTCTTCGATTACGTACACATATCATGTATGCAGACTTCGACGATGCAAAATAAAAAGAAAAACGAACGAACAGAGGCCAAAAAGAATAAAAAATAAGGAACTAATACAATAAAATCAAAAGATCAACAAACAGATGGGAAATAAAAAAAATAAAAAAACAGAAAAAGAAAAAGAAAAAGAAAAAGAAAGAAGAAGCTTACTTGGAAAGACATGAACCAAAAAGTGGTCAATTGTTCGAAATTTGGCCGACCATAAAATTCGCTCGTGACTTGTCACTAACCCATACATTTTCATTTCTGCAATATAGAACCACCAAGTATTCCCCAAAACGATAGCCACAAGCTATTCTTACCTTAATTAGCAAGTCAAGCCATGCATCTGCCACCCTTCTCTCTCTTTATCTCTCTCTCTCTCCACACTTTCTCTCTCCAGAATTGCAAAATTTGCACGTTAGATTATGACCCTTTTCAATCTTTTTTTAAAAAAACCCAAAACATTTTATGTTATGTCTATGTCAAATGAGGTTCTTCTTCCTTTTATCCTCCTCTTGATTTCTACCTCTGTTTTTTCTCAGAAATCTGTAGCTTTTGGTTCCCCGGATCGAGAACAGAACTTTACGAGACCCGATCCTTTGTCCCACTTCAAATTATACAAGGGAGTCTATGATCTTGAGAACAAACATTACTGGGCTGTAAGTTTGATTTCTCCATTTCTCAAATTCACACTGCAATTGAAATAATATGGAAGCGCTCTGTTTCTCTCTGTTTCTCTCTGTTTCAACTCCCTCATTACATAATATTAGGAAGTGATATATTACTACCATTTACTAAATTAAGCTTGGAATTTATATTTTCCCCTCTTTTTCTCCCCTTCAATTTTTAGTCTACAGTATTTGTGGGGGTCCATGGTTATGCGATTTCGGGAGTTTGGATGCTATGTGGATTGGGTTTTGGGAGTTACCTGATATTCAAGAACTGCTGTGGCAGCTCTTCCCCAATTACACACTATTCAGATTGTTCATTTATCACAATGTTGTTGCTGGTTGTTCTCTTCTCCCTTCTTGCCATGTAAGTGCCTAAGTAAGTTGAGCAATTCTTCACTGTTTTTAAGAAGATTGTTTTAGTTATCAGTTCCAAAATTTCAAAATCGATTCAAAAGGATGAACAAAATTCTTGAATATAATCATCTTTCATTTAATTGATATCTATATATGTAAAAACATAAATTTATAAATAACGGTTTTTGAGTGTTGGCTAAAATGCTATTCAACTAATCATATGCATGTGCTTTGAATTGAAGAGTTGCTAGCAGTTTGGTCATAGTGGCAAACAGGAGAACCTTTCACAGAACCAGAAAAGTAAAAGAAACCATAGTTGGAGCTGTTGGTGATGCTCGTGAAACAATCCAAAGAGTAACAAGCACCATGGAAGACATGCAAAACCTTTTAGGTCCATATGATCCACACACAATTGTTCTCTTGCATTCAACAGCGTCTGGGCTCGGAAGGGAGTCACAAATGATTCAACAGTTTGTTCGCAAGAAAGAACGCCTCATCGATAAAGCAATTCAAGCCTCGTAAGTGTCTAGATCCAATTATAATTATCTGTTTTGTGCTAGCTAATGCAAATTTTCAAGGTTACATTTGTATACTTTTTCTACTTTTGTAGGTACATTGTACATCTTGTGGTGGTAATTGTCAACCTGGTACTGTTGGTCGCTGCACTAGGTAAATATCTCATCTTCAATCTTAATTTAAATCACTACTCCATAAAATACAACTTCTGCAACTAAAAAATTTCAATTAGAAGAAAAATTACATTAACCCAATGAATTTAGGCTCTGTTTGTTTGGACGTAAAATATTTTTCAGAAAATATTTTTTTATTTTTTGGTGTTTGGTTGTGGTAAAATATTTATAAAGAAAAAAAATATTAAAATTTAACAAAAATAATTTATCCATAAATTTTTGGTAAGTTATTTTACATGTTCCGCCCGATAAACTAGACTTTAACCTCGACATAGACCTTTACCAAACACCAACAAAGTAAAAATAAAAAAATATTTTATCTGAAAAAAAAAAAAAATTCAAAAACAATATTTTACATTGAAACAAACGGAAGAGGATTATGTATCAGAGTCTCAAAATTACCATCCCATTCTTGTACCATTTTTACAACATTTTTATTTTACCTAGTCGGTCCTTTCTGACAAAAATGTGATGAAAACAACTTGGTTAGACTAATGGATTGCTGCTTTGGCTCAGTTCTGCTCTTGCTGCATTGGCACTCAGGATTTATCATGTAAGTTGTGTGTATGTGTGTGAGATTAAGATGTAGAGAAATATAATGCTATTAATTTTCTCTGATTTTTGTCTCCCTCTCTCTCTCATTCTATCTGTTTCGATCTCAGAATAATTTTCTTCTGTTGGATCTTGACAACTTTATGTTGGGTTCTGACTGGCTTCAATTTCTTCTTTCACACGTAAGCATAAACTTTTTCTTAGTTGTTAATATATGTATGCTCTGTTACTTACGCGACATGTATTCTTCAATTCATGATTTTTTTGAGCAGTCTTGTTCAATATGCAGTTTTGCTGAGGACACTTGCTCAGCTCTGGAGGATTTTGGAGAAAACCCCCAAAATAACAGTTTGAGCTCACTAGTACCGTGCGTGAGTTCAACAGACTCTGATAAACTCTTGGTGAAAATTGGCTACACTGTTCATTCATTCATGGGCGAGGTGCTAAGTTGATCACATAATTTACGTTACAGAGATTGTAGTTAGTGTCATGTATATAATAGCGTGAGAGTACGTTCTGTTTGTGTTGCAGTTGAATTCGAAAATGACAGAATTCAATCCCGTGCTCCGGTTGAATCAACAAACCGAGGGATTTGGGAGCGTGTGTGACCCTTTCTCTGGTCCACCCAATTACACCTACACACCTGAAAAATGCTCAAAGGATTCCATTCAAATCGGCGAAATACCAAATGTAAGTATCACAATATCCCGAGCTTGAAATTTCATGTGTACAAAGAGTTTTTCTTCGTTTTAATTTTTAAAATTTTTTTATCCGAAAGTTCAAGCAAACAAAAATTCATACCATTTACACGTATCTCGTTAGCTTAGGGCTAAGTTGGTTTTTCATTTTTGTGGGATTATCTATCCCTAGTGTGACAAAAAGCTTCCTTTGTGTAGGTCTTGCAAAGGTTTACATGTTACGAAGATTTTTCTACTGGAAATTGCATAGGAGATGGGAGATTTCTTCCAGAAGCTTCGTACATGATGGTTCGGGCTTACAGTCGATCAATTCAGAACTTGATAAATATATTTCCGGATTTGCAGAGTCTCACTCAGTGCTCGTTTGTGAACGACGCTTTCATGGACATTTTTTGGCATCAGTGTGAGCCATTTAAAGCTTCGAGTCGAATGTTATGGGCATCCATGCTCTCTCTTTCGATAGTAATGGTGGTTTTATTGTTACTTTGGGTAGCAAAAGCTTATCAAAATAGGGGCGGAAGTTTCTCGGTGTGTTCCATCATTCCCAGGCCTACATAGGAAATGAGTATTAACTTCTAAGCAATATTGTACAGGAAATATATATATATATATATATATATATATATATATATAAGGCAGAGTGCTAAGACACACAACTCTTTTCGGCTCTAGTCCTCCCTGCATGATCTCGCTCCAACTCTCACTCTGTATGACATAAGGTGATACACTAGATCAGAATTTTTTAGGTAAAATTCAAATGCATACTCCATAGTGGTGACAAGATATGGTTTGTCATAGAAATTATGTAGATTGCATTAGAGAAACGTGTAAATAACAATATATACATATTTTTATAAATTATGTTGTCTGGGGCGGAGCAGGATTGCAAAGTAAGGGAAGTTAAAAAATAAAAAAATTTGAATATGAACACAATAAAAATTATGAAATATTAAAAAAAATTCTTGTAAAAGTGAGATATGGTAAGGGCATATTGTATTTAATATAGTCTTACTTCCATGTCCAAATAAGTAGAACATGAAATTGATCATTTTTTACTAAAGATCGGATCCGGGAGGATCTAAAAACCTAATTTACCAAGTTTAGATCTCAACTTAAAATCATGTATAAAAACATGTTTGTTATTCACCATCAAAGTATCCATTGGAATTCGTTTTCCTGGTAAAAATAAAATAAAAAATTATTCAATTCAATCTTGAACATCCAATCAACAATATTTTTTTTTTTGTTTAATTGATTTTGAAATAAGACTTCACATGTTCTAAGGAAGATGGGTTTATGTTTTAATTTGAATGAAAAGTTGGACGTTTCCTCACTTTCTAGTATTTGTAAACTTTTTGAATTGTGATTTCTAATTAATATAATTTATGGGAAAAAAATCCAAGATAAACACACGAACATTTCGAAGAGGAAGAATGATAGTAACATCAGTTTAAATAAACACATGAACAGTTGAACTAATGGAAAGAGGAAGAGTAATATTACAATTCTGAGCTTATATAAATAGTAATACTATTTTTTTTTTTTAATTGGACAGGGGCAATAGCCGTTTAGCCCATTAATAGCCCCTCCCTGGTCTGTGAATTTGTATGTATGTCTGTGTTGGTTTATTCTTTGGAAGAGAACAGATGTACAGTATTAAATTGGGTGTGAGGCTTTTAGTGTTGGCAGGGAATCTAATAAAATATTAGTCAACGTTAAATAACTGCTATACCTTGTTGGAATAACTTGTGGTTGTGGCCCTCCAGACTTTAATGAAGGGGAGGAGGATAGGGTTGTGATTAATGACCTATAATTCGCTAGGTGAAAGTAAATGTAGATAGAAAAATGATTTTTAAATTGATTTGCTAAAATCTGGACAAAATGTCTAGACAAAACTTATTATAATGGCGAGTCTTAGTTAAAATAAATAAATAAATAAAATACCAAATATATTAATGGCCTATAATTAGTTAGTTGAAAGTATATTATTATTATTATTATTATTATTATTACTATCATCTTTTAAATGAGGGGAATGTGTAAGTGTGTTGTTAGAAAGACTTTCATGGGTCAATACAAAAATCTATTTATGCAGGAGTGGTTCACTCAATTGTGCTCTGTTTAAAGAATTACACTATTAAATCCTTCCAATCAACTATGTTACTTTATTATTTTTGTGCAATCTTTTTTATTTATTATTTTACCCCTCAAATATTAATGTATTTAATTGAATAAAATAATTTTAAATTTTGAAGTCAATAAAAAGCACAGTGACACTTAAGCCGAACTCTAGAGAGAATTGCTTAACCATCCAAATATTGATCGGTCAAATTTGTAACATATCATAAAGTCAAATGTCTCAATCCATTATATTTTAAAATTATTCTATCTTGCAATTTACTGTAATTCAAAAAGACCCGACGGATTTATTATGGTGTGAAATGATAAAATTAATCTTATAATTTAATATTTAATTAAAAACTAATATTATTTATTGTGAAATTACGAAAATACCCCTCTTCTTCTTCCTCTTCCTCTCTAATCTCATTCTCTAGTTTCTGTAAATGGCTTGATGTGGAGTTTTCGAGTTTTTCTCACATTAAAGATCTAGGGTTTCTTAATCCCTGAATGTGTTGGTGTTATTGGTGGTGGTGGAGGAGGAGGAATGGCGGTGGTGAGAGGAGAGAGAGTCAGCTGTTCTAGAGAGAGTGAAGAGGAAGAAGATGGGTATTTTCGTAATTTCACAATGAATATTAGTTTTTAATTTAATACTAAATTATAAGGTTAATTTTGTCATTTTATAACCTATAAACGGGTCGATCATGGGTATACAGTAACTTGATAGCATTTTTTTTAGTTCTGGGAGGTTTTTATTTTTAATGGGAATTTTTTGAACGAAAATAATAATAAAAAGAGATTATGTGATTTTTTTATATATTTAAATAGATAAAAAATCTAATTATTAAATTTAGATAATTTTTAAAATCGATAAAATATTTAATAAATCAGTATACACGCAGTATATTTTTACATTAAAAACAAAAAACCTCTGTCTTTATTGAGAAGTTAATGCAATTTCAAATAATGGACAAGACACGTAATCCTCGTGCGATGTTAATGTAATTAATCTCATTGTACTCGAATCAGAGTAAATTTGGTAACTTCTTTAATATTTCAACTTTAAATTTAGTAACTTCAACAATCAAACAGATCATCATTCATCCAGTTAAACAGTGAAGAGAAAACTCTATCATTAGAGAAACCTTCCGGAAGGAAGATTGAGAGAGAGAGCAGAGTGTGTTTGGTCTCAAGTCATCATCATAGCTTGTAGATCCGATTAGAACCAAAATAAATAAACGGCCCAACCTCTTCTCTTTGACTCTCTCTTCTGGTAAACCCACCCTGTACTGAAAATAAAACGAGGATAGTTTAATTTTGAGGTTCCACAAGCTTAATTGTCAATTTATTATCAGAGATGAATATAGGACCGTTTTGATTTGGGTATTGCTTATATGGTGGAAAGAACACCAACAGAGAACATCAACAGATTTCCCATGATCCGGAGGGTATCAGGTAAGCCTCTTGTACTATGTACAGAGTTCTGTTTGTGTCTATGAATCTATGATAATTCTGTGAACTTGTTCCATTTTGTGTTTTGTGTTTTGTTTTTTTATTGTTTTCTGTAAATGGGTTGAACTGGGTTTTAAGCTATCTAATTGGGTTTTGTGTGGATCTGCGTTTGGGGATGAACTGTGAGGGTTTTTGTTTTAATGAATTCTAGTGTGTATTAGAAATGGGTATATGTCAGATTTTGTTCTTTATTACTGGTTTAGTTGTTAATCCCCTAGTTGAAGTGTTTCTCATGATTTTATTGACAAAGACTATTGGAAGTCTGCCCAATAACTATAACTTGTAGGCTTCATGGGCAGACAGTAGGCAAGTTTGTTGTGACTACAGTTGGATTTGTGCATTTGCATTGATCAGCTGCTTCTGATTCTTCAATTTTATTCTTTCATAATATTATTAAGAATTATGGTATGGAGACTAATTTTGCGTTTTAGTTGGATTAAGGATTTCGTCAAAACCAATTCACTTATATACATTGAAAGCAATTCAATTGTGTACATCTCTTCAAACCCAATTTTGTTCCCCAAATTTTCTTCCATGAAATTTCAATAATAGGAATAAACGAATGTACTTGTGTGTGAATTCGTATATTTGATTTCTCTTTAAAAAAAAAAAGAAAAGAAGAAGAAGAAGTGTGGTTGTGACTTCATTTTTGGATCTCCATAGGTTGCATTTTCTTAATTGCAGCATTTTGTTGAAGATAAAAACGGGAACAAAATGAGGATGAGGAACAAATATCGGAAACCAACAACTTTACGTTGCAATGCAGGAAGCAGATGCTCCTTGTCTGTTGTTGTGTGGAGCTTGGTTGGGTGCCTCCTCATGCTCCATTTTTACTCTCTTGTTCGTCACAAAGATAAAGAGGGTGGAGAGATCCAAATGAACATGAATCACCACCCACTGCTCCGTGAACTTGAAGAGGTGGAGGAAGAGAATATCCAAATTCCCCCACCTCGGAAACGATCACCGCGTGCTGTGAAACGGAGGCCTAAGCGGTCAACCACCATGATAGATGAATTTCTTGATGAGTCTTCCCAACTTAGGCACACTTTCTTTCCTGATAAGAAAACTGCTATAGATCCGAGGAAGGATAATGGGAACGATAGCTTATACTATTATCCGGGAAGAATTTGGCTAGATACTGATGGAAATCCTATTCAAGCTCATGGAGGTGGTATTCTTTATGATGGGATATCTAGGATGTACTATTGGTATGGAGAGTATAAAGATGGGCCCACTTATCATGCACACAAAAAGGGAGCAGCACGGGTAAATTTTTAAATGCAAATAAGTAGTCTTTCATTAAAATTTTAAATGCAAATAAGTAGTATTTCATTGTGAACTTCTGTACCCTATCTGTATTCCAGTGCAGCAATCTCTCTCTCTCTCTCTCTCTCTCTCTCTATATGCATATAACCACTAGTATATGTAGCTAATGCTGTTTAAGTTACTCCTTTTTATGTCTTACTTATTTCTCTCTGTGCTCTTCAAATGTTCTAACTTGGATAATAGTTCATGTATGCTGACCTAAACATATCAATGGTTTTTTGACCCTACGTAGCTAAATATCAAGTGTAAACCAGTGGATTATGTTTCTAGCTAACTTATTGCACAAACTGAGATCATGTGACCGTGAGGAGGGATTCGAACCCCTGACACTGTGGTTCGTAGCCACGTGCTCTAATCCTCTGAGCTACAGGCCCTTGGTTGATCAATGACAGCATCGACAAAGATCTTTTTAGACATTATTATTGGTTTATTTGTGGCAAAAGGTTAAGTGGAGATATATATGGGTTCGACAATTGAGACTGGGAAGGGTTACAATAATATCCAAAAGAGGTGGAAAAGGGATTCATAAGGTTCAGTTGTGGGTTTGAAGATCGCTCATGGAGAGTAGGAAGTTGAAGAAAAGTAGAGGATATTGGGAGTTGCTCTAGGATCCTTAAGGGATTACACCTAGTGTAGGATTGCTTTGCACAATCTTTAAATAGTTTAATTCTGAGAAAGTTTATCTAAAACTTGTTATCTGTGGAATTGAAAGCACAACTTAGGACTCTACCAGTGCCTGTTCATAAAGACCTTACTTGTTGAAAGAAAAGGACGTAGCTAAATACCCCATAACCATCTAATAATTCTACAATTCTATGTGTTAGCCACGCCTGGAAAAATCTTTGAATTACCCAAAACACCATTGAGTTCTAAAATATATAAAAGTGTAATTAAATTGGAACAGCACAAGACTAACTCAAAGATGCATAAATTGGGTCATCTTCACCTGAATCTTGATTGTACAAGCTCCCTGATGGGTCCAACATAATCTAGCGTAACCAAGTTGGACGTGGCCTTGTAATTATATTTTGTGTTCATTTTATACTCTTGACGATTTTACTGCTGTTTCCATTGTGGAGTGATTTACACGTGAGATATTTTGATTAGCACTAGCATGAGGCAACTTCATGACAGTGTCTTATCAAAGTCAAACTAAGAGAATTGTAGGTCTCTTCTGAACTGTATCAAGCCATTCCTCCAAAAGGCAAGGTTATGCTATGTTGTACACAGGTAGCAGAAACCTACTTTTATTTATTTATTTTCTCTACGTATTTTTGGTTTCATTGTGACTTTGTTTTGAAATCAAAATATGCAATATGCATGTCCTACCTTTATCATCTTCATTGTCGTCATCATCATCATCTTCTTCTTTTTCTTATAAGAAAAATAAATTCGTTCAGTGTCTTTTTTTTCTCTCAAGTCTACATGATAGGAAGTGTAATTCCATGCATCAGACCTCTATGCTCCTGTTGCATCTGGAGGTTTAATTGCTTCATTCTTCACCTTTACCTTTTAGATGACAGGACAACATGAATTCTTTTCCAAAGGCAGAATTATTTATCCCTAGTTTGGAGAACTTAAGAGTTACTCAGAGTTGGGCATCCTAATTTAGAGCTAGATAAGAGAACATTTTAATGCCAGAAAGTAGCTGAAGGAAAGAAACTCCCCCCCTCCCCCTCTTTCTTTCTTTATGGACCAGTAGACTATGTTTTGTGTATGGGCTAATTTCTCAAACATGAGAAATATATTAATATTGAAAGAAGAAGGTACTTGCTGAATTCTTTTGATATCACCTGCCAAATTATTTTAAAGCAGTCAAGAATCAAAGCTTGATTAAATTTGGTAACTCAAAAATTTATTTTTCCCTCATTTGATTTGCTCAAGACCCTATATTTAACACAAATCAGAATAAGTATATAACATATACAAAATATTTATATTTTTGTATGTATATTATGTCTTATCAGGTCTGCTCGAGTTGTCCGAGACCTCTGCCGACTGCCAAGCCGAACCCAATTCAATACTTGGTTGAATTCTCTAGCCTAAGCACAACCCAAGGTTTAAAAGACATTGTAAGCCCAACTAAGATAATATGAGCAATCCTGGGTTTGTTCAGTTTACCCAGCATAACCCGAGAATGACATCATTCATTTATTAGTACTGAAACCTTAGCAGCCCAATTAGTTTACTTCTTCAAGTTTGAGAACCAATATTGAGTCAAGATAGCTAGAGAACCAAACTGAACTGAACCATGGACGTTTCCTCCGGTTCCGTCCAGTTCCCTTCTCAGCTCGTAGTCATTTTAGCTGTGCATCCCTAGTTAAAATGAATGGGAAAAAAGAAGACATACTGTATGGCAACTCTCAAAAACTACCTTTTTCATCTCTCTGGCTGTTATCCTCTTTATGAGTGTTGTCAGCCTTGACCCTCCACTTTGGTCCCAGTGTCCTATATCAACGTTAGTGCATCCTTTGAAATGCAGGTCAAGACAAGTAGTACCAAGCTTAGGCGCCCACAAACTCTGTTCCCTTTCAACTCCTTTAAATCTTGGTCTGTTCCACCAAAAAGATTATAGATTACATCATACTTCTGCTTCTGTTATTCACCTTGTAGTCAAAAGCATCCTAGGACAAATCCAAGCACTTACAATTGACCTTTATCGTCATGTTAGTAAAAGGGGGTGCCATTGACATGTATCAGTTGGGGTATAGACAAAAAAGCTCTCTGCTAGTACTGGAATTACCATATATGACCTTTTGGAGGCATATTTCCATTGTACAGATTTCATGTGTCCAACAAGGTATTTAACATGTTTTTGAAAACTTGAGGTAATGTATGTTATTCGCTGTAGCAATTTGTATACTAGGACATAATCTAGAACACATGATACTTCAGTTCGTTCGGTAAGAACAAATTTGGTGATCTGAATTATTTTTGTTTCATCACGTTGTTTTCTTCTTTTTAATTAGAGAAATAAAAGAACAATGAATTGAAATCTAATAACTGATAAGTGTTTTTCAGGGGTAGGCGCCATGTCATTTAAAACACACTTAATTCCAGGTTTCTACACTTACCTTCAAAACAAAATTCAAAAAATAAATTGAGAGCTTTTCCAATTCAACTATTATTTTTTCATTAATTATGATTCTTTGGAAAAAAAAAAAAAAAAAAAAAGGGAAGAAGGAGATGAAGAAAATATCAGTCTTCTATTAATTAAAAAATGAAAAATAAATTTGGTCTTGCTTTTAGGAATACCTCAATTCAATCCAACTATGTGATTGATATAAGTTTATACACTTGCCACTCAGCGTTTTAGAGTATGTGGTACGCCATGGTCCCATTTTTTTTTTAACTGAATTTATCCACATTCCATGTACTATTATAATGCTGATCCCTCTTGTAGTCCTCACTTGTTTTGAATTAGATTATAGGTATTTGGCTGTCCTTTTCTGCATTTGACATATAGGTATTTGGCTGTCCTTGAATTAGATTAAAGGTTCCTAATAAGTAAAGTTTAGTACAAAATTGGGTTTGGCATCCTTATGAAATACATAATTTGTGGAGTGGGGCTATACAGTCAATTCTTTTCCTCATATTTCCGCCTGCTTTTTAGGTGAAACGGGGCATTCCGTTGCTTGTACCCCATTTTTTCAAGAATCTCCCCCCCTCCTTTTCCCATTGAAAGTCAATCTGCTCCCAGGTCAGTTTGATAAAATCTTTGTTGGCTTAACCGTTGACATTTGTACAATACCTTTAAGATGAGTTTTGAGGAAAAGAAATAAAACAGTTCAAGCAAATTAAAGATGTTTGGTTACTCTGATGATAAAAAACATTCAATTACAAGAACTGATGGTTTCAAACATGATGTAATTGGTAGAGATGCAGATGAATGAGATTTGGGTTTCAACTACATTTTAAATTTGCAGGATAGTTTATGTAAACATGTACTTACTTTAATCATAGTTTAGATGAAGTAACAGGTCTTCGGAATGTCATTAGCTGGATATTGACTTTTTGTATTGAAAAAAATATTCTCTTACCGGAGTGACACAGTAACCTAATGCCAATGATGGTGTAGCCAATTTTCTCAAAGTCATTCCTCGGAGTGTATACCTGGGGACTTTTTTGCAACACCCCAGACATTTGTGCCCGTTGATTATAGGTTTTAGCCTTTCCTATTTGTCCTTTTTATCATATATTTTTTTTCCTAGTTGGTACTCACATACACGGCCTCCACTGAGGTTCGAACCCCTAACCTCCCTTTGGAAAGTAAGGGCCTTGTACCGCTAGGCCACAGGCCTGTTGGTTCCTTTTTATCATTTCTCTTCATTAATTTACAGACTTCTGTTTTTATTTTTTAGTTGAAAGTCCTGTATTAGCCTAAGTGTGAATTGAGATTGTTCCGCTGACTAAACCAGAGATATTATGGTCCTGTTAAAGCTCATCTCTGAGTAGGGGCGCCTAAACAGTAGTGGTGTATAAGGAGTTATAAGCAATGGATTTGTTATAGACAGAAATTGGCAACAGAATTACGGATATATGTAGGGGTAGAATAACCAAGTCCAAGGCAGTAACTCGTGCAGACAATAAAACTGTATTCACTATATGTCAAATCATTTTTGGAATAGAAAGTAATATCCAAGAGCTAAATCTTTGTTCATCGCCATGTACAAAGGAACTTATGTTGGCGTTTAAGTTAAAGTTAAGTGAAATGACCTTTTGGGAGTGAAGTAGTTGCAAGGATATGAGCTAATAGTGGCATTTGTGATACACGATTACAATGTAGAATCGCTGAAGTGGATGAATGGTATGCAAACAATTTAATTTTTATTATGTGAAATCTTCAGGTTCTTTTTTTTTTTTTTTGATAAGTAAAATCTTCAGGTTCTTGGCCAGATAAAAAAGGTGATAGAGTTCTTAAAACACCGATATCTTCCTATACTAAACTTTTCTCCCATCCCCTCTCTGTCTTTTTGGAAATTCAGACAACCAATTGTTAACTTTATGTTTGTATGGCTGTTCATGAAGTATATCAGACCTGGAGATTGTCTTTTTCAATTGCATGGTCCAATTGTGATACAGAACTTCCAGAAGAATCTCAAACATTGGAAGAGAAATAAATTCAAGAAATCATTCTCAATTTCCTTAAAGAGGCCAGAAGATTTTGAGCCAAACTGAGAATCTGACATATGTAATTACCCATTTCTGAATGGTTTCTATAAAGCAGAAAGGCAAGGCTATTGACATATTTGAGAACACTCTTATTTTAGCAATTATATCATGTCAGACGAAATCACATAAATACGAGCCATACATGATTTTTTCACCATATTTCGCCATATGTTCGGCCTTGAACTTGGCTCATTGGGTTAGATGGAAACACTCCCATTGGAGCCATGGATACAATACCATTAATTCGTGTTGTGCCTTGTAAAGATTATTTCACACTTCCACTATAATCTGTACGTATCTCATTTTTTTGCAAATACTTGAAGTACTAAATACCCCTTTTATATGTAGGTCGACATAATTGGTGTTGGTTGCTATTCTTCCAAGGATTTGTGGACATGGAAAAATGAGGGCATTGTTCTGGCGGCAGAAGAAACAAATGAGACCCATGATCTACACAAGTCTAATGTGTTAGAGAGGCCGAAAGTAATATACAATGAGAATACTGGTAAATATGTAATGTGGATGCATATCGATGATGTCAACTACACCAAAGCCTCAGTTGGCATTGCCGTCAGTGATTCACCCACTGGTCCTTTTGATTACCTTTACAGCAGACGTCCCCATGACTTTGACAGCAGGGACATGACTATCTTCAAAGATGATGATGGCGTGGCATACCTCGTATACTCCTCCGAAGACAACAGTGAACTTCATATAGGGCCGCTCAATCAAGATTACCTTGACATGACGCGCGTGATGAGAAGGATTCTAGTGGGACAACACCGGGAAGCCCCGGCTCTGTTCAAGTACCAGGGGACTTATTATATGATCACATCAGGCTGTACTGGTTGGGCACCAAATGAAGCACTTGCCCATGCAGCTGAATCAATTATGGGGCCGTGGGAGACAATGGGAAACCCGTGTATCGGAGGTAATAAAGTTTCTAGACTTGCTACATTCTTTGCTCAGAGTACATTTGTGCTTCCTTTGCCTGGGTTTCCAGGTTATTTTATGTTCATGGCTGACCGGTGGAATCCAGCTGATTTAAGGGACTCAAGATATGTATGGTTGCCTTTAGTAGTAGGAGGAGCAGCAGACCAGCCTTTTGAGTACAATTTTGGGTTCCCATTGTGGTCAAGGGTGTCAATATATTGGCATAAAAGATGGAAACTTCCATATAGGTGGAATGCAAAGAAATGATGTAGGGTTTTTGTGTGGCTCTATTGTATCATATGGCGGCTATTTGGTTATTCTTTTACTAGTTCCTGTTGTAACTTCAAATGAATATCATTCCGTGATGGTTTAAAGCAGAATAAATAGGTGTAGAATGACTGTCTCAAGCTCTGTATTGGTTAACCTACAGATTCTCTTTGACCAGCTCTTGTTAATATTAATTTTTCTGAGAGGCTCAATGTTTGTGGCAAAGAAAGCCATGTGTTTTAAATTGTGCTCCTATTTATGTGAGGAAAGATAAAATCTGCATCTAAATACTCTATGGTTGGTCAAGCAATATCATTCTGTTTAACCTTTCAATATATATATATATACATATATATATGTCAATCTCTGTTGCCTGCATGATTCTTAACTGCAGCATGGTGGACAGAGATTACGATACAATATTGGAAGCAACACAAATAATGCTTCTTTGAAAGTCACAGGACAACTACTAATTGAAGTATACACACACATCGTGGAAGCATAATATATATATATATATATATATATATATATAAAAGCATAACAAAGACATCACCAATATAGTTTTTGAACAAGATGTAAAACCGTATTTCCCATCAGATAACATGCTCAATAACATAAAATTGAAACACAAATGCTTTTCATTGTGTCTACTGGTCAATCAAAGTTATGATAAACCAATCAAAGTTCTATAGTGCCGGCCAATTTCATCACGTCACACACACACATGCATTGCTGTCTAAGAACGAAGCACCACTTTGATACCCACTTGGGCTAAACCTAGTCCGCTCATAAACAAAAACTATATTGTTATCAGTTATCATCCTCTCCAATCACCTAGTTATATGTTACTACGTTGACAAGCTACTTTACTATCAACTTTTAAAACCGTTTACATATAATTACTATAATATAACAAAATTCTATCAATCAATATACAATTATATTTGAGAGTACCAAACAACATAACGTCACATCATGTTATGTGGTGATTGTTGTAAATAATTGTACATTTTTTATACACCAAGCAATTGTGACATTTAATATAACGCTAAAAAAAAAAAATTCATTTAACGACGAATTCAAGTGGGTCCAAGCTAGAAGTAATGGAAGATTGTTCCTTTTTAAAAAGTGGGAAAAGAAACGTCCTTGCAACCCACTTTATTCATCTGATTAAGAATAAAAAAGCTTCCGACGACCAAAATCAAAAGTCATGTAAAGGGTCGATCTTACCCATCAATCTCCTTTCCGCTAGTTGCCAACTTGCAGTTGGTCCCGTGAATGTTTCAAGCAAATTAAGCCGGTCATAATCCTCAATGTCACTTAAGTAAAATAAACAAACTATATAATATTATATGAAAAATTATTTCAAAGTGGGAAAAACTAACCCACTAATCAATGCAATGAAGGTGATGAACTGATGATATCCATACTCAAGACACGACAGATATATTAGTAAAATACTCCATATAACAATATATTAATCGGTCGCGTTTTAGTTACAATAATGTTTAGTCTTTCTTTTGTAAAGCAAAACAATATTGTAAAGGAGGAGATAATATATTAAAAAAAGAGAGAGACGTTGGTGGAAAGTGAGTGGGTATGTCAGCTTGGAGTGGTGGAGGGGGCAAGTCTCATCAAAAGACTAGGATGGATATGTGGAATTGGCAACCCCCTCCTCCCTTAAAAGAAGTTCCCACTATCCCCAAGTTTTTTCACTCTTTTTTCATGGAGGCCCACTACTACCCCAACCCACCTTTCTTTACGTTATACCTACACTTCCATGAAAGTGTTTCTGCTGGCTTATATGCCCCAGTGCTTTACGGGGCCCACACAATGCCCTAATGGTATATATATAGATGATGGTTAGAAGATATCGAAAAAGGAAATATCTATACAGCGTGCTGCCCACTAAAGCCCTTATGACTAAACACTTTTGTTACCAAACACGACCCAACTCAGTGGCCGTCCTAAGATTCTTTGGTCCCAACCAGATGACGACCTTTTTTTTAAAATAAATTTATAAAAACTCTTCAAATTTTAAATCATTTTGTATTTCCTAGTAGTTCTATGCTCATATCATCTTCAACGCACCTAATACCAACTCCATCTAAATTTTGGCCCCATATAAAAAAATCAAGGAACAAATTTAGACTATCATAAAGTTTTTTATTTTGATATATTAATTAATTTTCATTAGGTCGGATACGTGTGTGTATATATATATGGTGTAGGTGTATATATATATAAGAGAGATAAAAGTATATATCAAACACTTTCATCTTTGATGATCAATAAAATTGAAAACCAAAATTAATTCCTTTTTCATAATAGTGACAAGAATAATCACAAATTGTAACAAAAGAGTAATGAAAATACATTACTTAACTCCCTATTCAATTAAAAGCAAATACTTGGCTTGCTTCTTACTTTTTGATCTCTCTTTTCCTTCAACTAAAACCCATAAATACCCCTCCCCCATTCACGTGCCAAAAGTACTCCACACGTGCCACCCACCATCATTATCATGGCCTCCACGCGCTAGTCCACACCACCGGCTGATCCTTCCACGTTAGGAATACTCCGGTGGCGTCTGGGCACTGTGTCATTGCCCAACCCTCCTTGTACCTCCTCAGAAGCGCGCGTACATCATCACACACCTCATCACTAAAAGCAATTGAGCTAAAACCACCACCATGCAGCCGCCTTGACCACCGTGCCGCGGTCTCACGCCGCTCAATAGATTCTTGAGGCGGACAAGCCACCAAGTCCACCACCGCACGCCCGGCTGCCCTTTCAAGCATCAAACGCTCGTTGTTCGTCTTCGGGAAGCTCTCCTCCAATGAATCAAAGTAAACCCTAAACCATCTCAAACATTCTTGGAACCCCTTAACAAACTCAAAACCATCAACACCCACGTCAAGATCAGCCTCTTCCTCCACCACAGTCACAATCCGCGGCTGCAATCTCCGAAACAGCGATATCGCGACATCCCGGTTGTTACCCACTGCAGACACTGAATGTAACGCTCCGATGCAATTCACGGCGAGTGCTTCGTCGTCTTTGACGTCCAATTCAGCTAAGTTCAAGTCCGAAAGATCTCCTACATGATGTACCACGTTGAATTTAAATGGCACACCCATTAGTCTAGCAAACTTCTCCATTCTATTTCCAATCTCTCTCATCACCTTTTGCACTGCCGCCACCCCTGCGGTGGCGCCACCCGTCATCACGGTGGTGAGACGGAGGTGTGGTGTCTCGTCGGTTCGGGTAGCTAGAGCTTCCAATAAAGTAGGCCACTGTGTGCAATATGTGTTGCTTATATCAATTATGTGCAACTTACTCTCTCCTTCAAAAGCCTCCATAATTGCGCCATTGCAAGCAACATGACCAAATGTAGTCCAAGGACTCACTTCTTGGAATTTCAATACCATTTTCCGAGTTGACTCGAAAGAGCACGTTTTCTCGGATGCTGACGACAGAGTCCGGTAACACCTCTCTCCGGAGTCCATCATGCGGCTGAACAAGGCCTGGAGGAAGTAGGCGGCGAGCTTCTGATCGGTGTCGCCGTAGGGTGAACCGAGCTCATTGAGCATCCACATGAGCTGCTGGACACGCGCGCTGTTCTTCTCGGCCATGGCACGTGCGGTCTCGAGGAGGATATCGGAGGCCCAAGTGGGGGAGGAGGCGAATTCGAGGTTGAGGTCACGTGCAGGGGAGAAGGAGAATTCGGGAGCATGATGGGTATGAGAGCTCGTATTGGTAGTGGTAGTGGTTGTTGTCGGGGTGGGGGTGTTTGAAGATTGGTGTTGCTGGTGGTAGGGATAGTAGTGCTTAGAAGAAGAAGAGAAATCTTCATCATCCATGAAAAAGTTGAAGCATTCTTCTTCCTCCTCCTCTGGGTGGTGGTGGTGGTGGTTTTGCCTAGAAGATCTAGAGCTGCTTGAAGTTCTGCTGGTGGAGTTGAAGGAGTTATCAGATTGAAGACTGACTAGTCTAAACAAAGTATCCATTTAACCTGCAAAGACCCACATGAAAAAAGATTAACCTTCGTGTGTGAGCTAGCTTAGTGAGTATACTCTATTAAGGTATATCTTTGGACACGAGAGATATGGGCTGTTTGTGTTTTTAACAGTGAATTTGGATAGAGAAATGATTAAAAAGGAGGATCTTCAAAGTTGGATCTTAGCTAGCTAGGTTTATTTGAGAGAGAGTGAAATAGCTAGAGAGAGAGAGAGAGTAAGAAGGAATCTATATATATAAGTAACATTTTACTACTTTTCTTTTGGTGTAACCGATGAGAGGAATATATTGAGTAGTACTTTGTTTAAGGAGTCTTTAAATTTAGGTGGGATTTATAGAGTGAATGAAATAGGTTGCATATATATTCCGTTAGAACTTGGAAGAAGAGATGGCGTGGACTAGGTGGTGTTTGGATAGAGAAAAAAGATACAAGGTGGGGCTGCAACAGATGAATTAGTGGATTAGCTTTTCCTTTTAGAGAGAGAAATTATGTGTGTGTGTGTGTGTGTTTTGAGTGGGAGCAGGCGTGACAAATGGGTGTAGAGAGAGGAGAGAGAAAGAGAAAGGGATTGAAAAAGCTGCCGGCGTGCATCATCAGAATCAAACCCACCAAGCACCAACCCATTGATCACATTCCTTGCCTCCTAATTCCTCTCCAAACTCTGCCAAAAAAAATTCCCTGCTTTTTCCTTTTTTACGCTACTACAAAAACCCATACATTACATGTATAATATTAGTGCAATAATGTTGTACAAGTATCATAATAACCAAAATGTACACTTGCTCCAAAATCTAGGCATGCTCTTCACTTTCTCTCACCCCCATGTCACAAATACACTCGATAGTTGATACCCCACCAGCCTAGGCCATTTCTCTAGAGGGCCCTACCATACCATAATACCATAACACTCCTCCTTATATCTCAACCTACACCAACTTCACAAACTTGTCTTTCTTCTCTTATAAATTGGTTAGTCGTGATTGAGACATATATTGTTGTTGAATAAGCTCAATTTAACACACACACACATATATAAAAGACTATAGCAATATTTTATGTCCATTTCCTTTCAATGAATTGATCGGTTCTTTTCTTCCTTCTGAAGAATTCCACACCGTGTAAGTCTATTACTTACATCAATTGAGCATCTCTAGCTTGTCTTTAGTTGTTAAATTGAGAATTTAGATTGTACTAATGTTTTTTTTCCTCCACACTTGGAGTGGATGTATATTAAGCTTGTCATGGGTAATGTCAAGGGTCTCTTGTTATTGTTCTTGGTTTTCTTCATCAATCATTGGGAAAAATTCCATATTTGGAGTGCTTTGTCCCTAGTTGAGTGTTGGGTAGTGGGTGGGTATTTTAAGAAGCCATCATTATAGAAACTGGCAGAGAGGGAGAGGGCATTGGCCATCTTCTAGTTCATGTAATCAGAACCAACAGCCAACACTATATCCATTGTGTTGGGAAGGGCAGATTGGTCAATGAGTTTTCAAAAAAAAATACACTCCATAAAAAAAATCAACACTATGTTTGGTTCGTCCTTTAAAAAATACTCCTCAAAATTTTTAAAAACAGAATGCTATTGTTTTTACACAACTATAAAAAAACAGTTTTATAAAGTTTTCAAAACAAAATTCTCAAAAACAGTCAACAACACAAGTTTTGTAAAGTCTTAAAATTGTTTGATTTGTCACTTAGAAAACAGTTTTAAACAATTCAGAATATTATTTTAAAAATGCGATTATCTGAAAATATGTTTTTTTATGACGGAGTTTTCAAAAAATTAACTAAGAAAATTTTTTATACAATTTTTTGATTTTTCGTTATCTAAAATAAAAAATTATTTTTTGATTGACAAATTAAGCAGACCATAGTTCAAAACCCCATTAAAAAAGCTATAATTAATTAGTTATCTTTCCATTCAAAGCCATATATCCTTCTTAGTGATGGTAATTGAACAACTAAAAGTCATAAGATGTTAATGGATTATTAATATTAATTTTTTTGGTAGGTAATTGGTCATACGAGCTGTTATTTAAAGAAAATATAGATCAAATGTCACTACCTCAACCACAACAGAAATTTTGTATTGTTTTGGAAATTAAGGAGAAGGCCAAACCATTTGTTGTGCAATATTCAAACTGGTTGGATTAGTTTAATCATAACCATAAATAATTTATCTTCATAATTTATTTGAGATTGTATGTTTGGTATATAAGTTTCAGTGTGAAATAAGTCACACCTTTCATATATAATCCATAGTTGTATATATATTATATTATATAAGTTGTACTTTATCGTGAATAAAAGCTGTTGCTTTGGACAATTTATGAATTTGCACCCGACAACATAAGTTGACCAAGTCCTTCCCTCCCACTCCATGTTGATTATTTTCTGATGTGGACGTGGTGGCGGTACACTGAATGGGCCATTATATTTGCTTCAAAATCTGTGGTTGTTTACCCCCACCCTCCTCTCCTTTACAGGGGTTCTGTTTGGATATTATTTTTTTAATATTCGTATTTACATTTAATATTAATTTAAAATAATTTATAACATATTAATTTTTATGTTTAAATTTGTATTACCAAATTAATGATATATTATCGTGTTTTGGTATTTTAAAGGAGTAATTAAAGTAAATATTAAAATTTTTCAAAACAAACAAATTTTTTAATTTCTCAAATCAAATTTTTTATTTAATTTATGCCCAAAACACTTCTATAATAAAACAATCAAAACATAATACCTAAAACACATCACATCCCAAATCAACCCATATATATTAAAGACGGTATATCAAATCAACCCTTATATATTAAAGACGGTATATCAAACACTTATATATAAATATATATATCTCCAATTCAAATACTTTTTTCCTTTGTTGATGATGTTGAGAGGCACTTCTAGTGGGAATCAATAAGAGCTGTTAACCAACTCAACTTTTCAGCTTTATATATCTGTCTCCCACCTCACATTTTGAGGCAACTTACCGACGAATGACTACCCCTCTCTGTATACACGAACAAACTTTTCCAATCGAAGATTTCTAAAGAAGTTCAACGATTTTTTCTTCTCAACTTTTAAAATTTTGTCCCTTATACGACTCATTTATTAAACTAAATATGCAAGTAGTGTCGGTAGAGACGGACTCAAAAAATTAGGTTAGAAGAGGCGACCTTTAATAGTAAGAAGATAAAAAATTTCAATAAGAAAAGAAAATTTCAATGGGGGCAATTGTCCCAACTCGACCTAGTGTAAATCCGTGTATGAATTTCGGATCACACATTTAATAGACAGATTATCTTTAAGTGTTCCTGACAGAATTATTAAACTCGGCATGTTCGAATTTACCTATATGACATAGTAATATTATTAGGCCGACACGATACGTAATGACTTACCAACACGAATTGTCACCCTTAATCGGACATGTCAAATCTCTAAATAGAAAGATATCGCTAAATATTCATATTATTTAATATTTTTAATTTATTTTTAAAAAATAAAAATATTATCTTTATGTAATATAGTGTTCAATATGAGCATTCAATCATTTTGAAATGAAGTAGTAATATAAAAAAAAAAATTATTTCATTGGCTATGTTTTTAAAGTGTATGCCGAAACAAAAGAGTTAGATCTAATAAAGGTAAATAATAAAAAATTAATTTTCAACAATGGTAATAATTCATTTTTATGCATATAAGAACAAAATTTAAATTTTCAATTGGAACTTCAGATTTAATGTTATTGTAGGAACACTTGAATAATATATATATATATAGAAGAATAAGATACCTAGAATTTACTTAATATATATACACCTAATATTTTTAAATATAAACATAATTTATAAGGACAAAATTTTAATTTACATCTATAATGGGTGAAGGACGACCTATTCCATCTCAGTTCCGCCACCACGTAAGGTTTCAATCCTAAACTCATTCTCACTCCAAAATTAGATGGGGTGTTTTGTCATCCTAATTGTTTACTTTGTGTGTTTTTGAGGAGTGATCTGACACATTGTGTGATTACATTTACGTGTATCATACTTACCTTTCAAGAATCTACATTTTCTACTAAAAGTTTATGCTTGGAAATTTGGCAACTGCACTTCAGTCTTTGATGGCCTGCATGGAGCCACTCTCTGTAAATATGAAACGCGCCATTCAGCCTTTCGGTCCACCTAGTGGTTGCACACTCTCAGAAACACCGACCATCTTTTCATAAGTGGACAAAATTACCCTTAACAAAACCTTTCAAAAGGTTGGGCCACTTTATGGCTGTGATGTACGCATAACCAAGCGATGAAACAAGTGATAGATGCTTTCGGTGAATAACAGTTAATCTTGACTGTTTTTAAAATCTTTACCGTCGCGGGAGCTCTTTCAGAATTTGACCCTAACATATATGTCCATAACTATTTTAATATTTAAAACAAATATCTCAAATAGGATGGTATTTTGGCTGGATATATTATTGATTGGCACAACACTCCCAAATCAAAAGGAACCAAAATCCAACACCCATATATGTTTCATGTTGTGAAACAACATGGATGTTGATGTCTCTAAAGAAAGAGCAACATACATTATAAGCAAATTCTATTTGGGATTTGTAGCTAGAATAGGCCAAACAGGGAGTAAGGAATGTTGAATTCAATTAGAAATAGGATGAAAGAGTCCGTCCAATTTCGTTTTCAGGAGATGGAATGGCATATTATTGAGAGGGGGAAGTATGTATTCAATGCCTTTCTAAGGATTTGAGATGTAAAAGTACTAGACTTGTTTAAAGTTGACCAGGTGGATATTTTCTTTCCTTCCAAACAAAATGTTCCAAGGAAGGAAATGACAAATTCGAAATAGAGAGAGAGCTAGCCCCAATCTCTCCACGAACATCCATCTACCAAACAAATTAACAACATAGAATCTAATTTTGTTCCAATATGGACCAAGTACTGCCAACTTAATACAAACAAAGCCTTCAAAACCATAGGATAAGATAGTAAAATCATTTGTATGTAGCATTGCAAAAAGCCTACCTGGTCAATCCTTGAGTCCAATTTCCTCTGTTATTTTTACACCAAAAAAATCATTTTACACACCACTTTGATTCTACTTACCCTCCACTTACTTTTGGGAAGAAAAAATAAATAAACAGAAGACAAATAAGTGGGCCTTTAATTGGGTTGGGCCTATCAAGCGTTCTATTGGGCTTTCAAGATTACTCGAACTGGAAAAAGTTCCATACCCTGCCCAACTCTACCCAAACCGGACTTGGGCCAAGCTAATCCCTAATTGAATATTGGAATGTGATAATTGGCACTCCCACTGAAGTGAATATTGTACCGTTTTGTATGTGTTTGTGAGTTTTTTGTTTTTTTATTTTTTATTTATCGGCAAAAAATTCACCCACTCATTTTTTTTTAACGAGACTCGAACCCTCACTATAA